GGATATTATATTACTATTGAAATTATTCTGGTTTTGATGTTTGTGGAAGGATATTATATTACTATTGAAATTATTCTGGATAGTATTATTATAAAGTCATTGAGAATAATCTACTAAATTATAATAACATATTATTGATGCATTTAAAAAATATATTTATTATATATTATCGAAGATATAGTTATGATTTGTAAGATAAACCCAGCCGAAGGCCCGTTAAAGGGGGTTTGGGGGGCGAAGCCCCCCAGTTTTTATATGTATGGACACCCTCTAAGGAAAATTCCTAGCTACGCCACTGGTTCCCGTATTACTAAAAATAGAGAAAATATTATAATTGCTCCAAATTTGATTACCATTGATAATATTTCCTCTATTTTTAACGATTTTTTTTAAAACTCAATTTATATACAAGTGCTTAATTTACTGAACCAATATACCCAAAGAAAAAGAACCAGTAACATTAGAAAGTAAACTCTTCTTAAAAAATTTGTGCAAGTATATTCAAGGCTTAAGAATGATTCCTACAGGCTACAATTACGTTCGGAAATTATTTTGGATTAATTTTTATATAATGATTGTATATTATATTATATAAAAGCTAAATTTTGTTGATTTCAATTTTTATCATAATTTTAATTTAAAATATTGAAATAAATTGATTGTTACAAATATCTACATCACACATAATAATTATATACAATAAATATATCTGTAATAACAAATTTTTATCATTTAATTTTATAAAAGAAACGAAAATTTAATCTATCTTAATAATCGAAGTTCCGATAGCCTAAATTTTAAGTCCGCAGGTTTATATTCCGCAGTTTTTTTCCGTCAGATCTTTTTCGCAGTTTTTTCATTCGAGTTTTTTTTTCTACAGTCTTTTTTTCCGATTACCATTGTAATATATATAATAATTATAAAATATATTTAGCCAATATTTAATTTTTTTTTACAATTTACTAATAAAAATATTTTTCCATTATGAAATTGAATTTTATAGCTTTTCATACAAATAGTAAAATCTGCTATATTACTTTTTGTAAAATTCGATATTTCCAAGTGAGATAATTTTAATTAAACTGAAACAGCAGATCGATAGTAACGTTTATAAGTCAGCCCAACTTTTATATTTATTCGAATTTCTAAATTTAAACTATACTTTGCTTCTAATCAAATATGTCTTTAATTAATAATCAATTTATTAAATTATATAATTAAATGATTACAATTATAATAATTAATAATCAATTTATTAATTATATAATTATATTTTTTTTTAATTCAATTTTTTATTAAAATTCATATACAAATATGATAAAATATTATTATTTAAAAATTATATAATATAGAGAATATAATAAAATATGTATATCAGTTTAAGTTTAAAAAAAAATATCAAATGACGAGGTCGGCCATGATGTTTTAAATATTTGATAATTAGATCTAATTAGAGATACCGCGATTTTCTGCTTGAGTTTGTAAAATGGAGAAAGGTATGATTTTTTTATTGATTTAGATATTATTTTGAATAGATCTAAAGCCGCTTGTCCAAAAGAGCAGGTTGATGTAGCTGCTATGGGAACAAAGTGGTTATCACACATTAGGTGTTAGTATTTTATATTTTTTAGAGATTCGGCTCTGTTAAGGGGATCATGGGAATTATTAGATGGAGTCATGGGATCAATGCAGGTAAAATATGAATTAGTATATTCGTTAATTAGATTTTTATAATAATTATATATTTATATATAATTTAGGGTGGTATTGCTTAACCGTCTGTTTAACTGTTTAAGATTATTAGAATGTAGAAACTTTTATTATATATTTTTATATCCTGCCTTTTTTGAATGTTATATGGATGAATAAATTATGTGTTTGCAATATAATATTTTTTACAAGAAATGCTTAATATCCCGTGAGAAAAACAAGTAAATCACTAATAACTACTTATTATTTTTATATTTTCTAAGGCACTTCATAAGTTTATATAATAAAATGGGTAATGAGATCCATATAGTTAAAATATAATTTGGTGCTTCAGTCCTTCAAGGTTATGAAATGGCATGCCTAAGGAATGAATATTTAAACTTAGAGTGTGCTCAATTTTTTAGAGGGTGCTAAAATCTTTATTTTAGGAGGTATCAGCACTCAGTTTACTTCACCCTAATATTAATATAATTAATAACGCTAGTATTAAAATTCATAATTATAAAATAGATAATACAGTCATTAGGGTCAAAACTTTAAAATTTTCTCGTCAGGAAAAAATTCCTAGTTTAATCTATATTTTATATTTAGATTATTAAAAGTTCTACACATATTATAATCCGTGGAACCTGCATTTTCTGAGCGATGGAAGCAGAATACACCCCCCCCCCCTCCCCACCTATGGGAAATACTTCCCTTCAAAAAGGCAGTTAATTATTTTAACTCCCAATCTCAATTATAAATTTTAAAAATGAATTTTATTGCATGAATTTTTAATATATAATGTAAATATAAAAAATATATAATTTAAAAAATAATTTTAAATGAATAATTTATACAAATTAGGGATAGAGAAAGCCAAATATTTTATAATTTCGTCAATATTTAATTGTTTCGAAGCCTTATTAGTTTAATTTTACGCATGGCCCTTTCAACAGTACATGAGTTAGTGGAAATAGTTAATAAATATTTGTCAGGGGCTCAATCGTCCCCCATATCCCCCAATTTGCGGGCTTTCGGCTCGCTTTTGCCCGCGGGCGGGTTTTATATTTATATATTCTACTTTTTTAAAATTTGTTAACTATGAACAATTATTCTAAATTTCATATTTTGTCATTTATTATATTATGCATACAAAATAAACTGGCATATAAAAAACCACAACCACATAATGCAATAATATAATTCTTAGCAACTTACATTGACAAAAGGTTATCAAATTATATAACTATCTGTTACCATTTTAGACAATGGTAAATAGAATGGACTAATAAGGAAAAATTTATAGGCCTAAACCAAATCAACAATTTTTGAAGGAAAGAGTATAATGACAAATCCAAATCATAAAACTATATAGTGGTTAGAGCTTCCTTTTAGATGACAGTATGGAAGCTAGCAAAGTAATAGAGAGAATTATGGTGAGATATTAAATTTCTAAAAGATTATCTTCCATTTTAAATGATATATAAACCACTACACAGTTGACCTTGTTTATCTAAAATATGCAATCATATGTCTCAGCCGTTATAGTAATAATCTTAAATTACATACCAACATAAATAATATATGCTGGTTAATTTGCAGTAATTGCCATGACACTCACGATGTAAACTAATATCAGAATTTATTATCTAGGATAAATTGATAAAATAAAAACAATTTTTGGAAGAAATAATTATGCAAATATATTGAAGCCTGGAGTTATTTACACGGCAATGCCATATTAGAAATGATCTAACTATAAAATAAAAACCAGAATGATATGAGAAAACAATTCAGATTTTATATATTGTCGCACAACCTTGGTATAATATATTTTATAATAATAGTAGTTTTTAATAATATCAAAAATATACTTGTATTAAAAATTTAACTCAAAATTGATTTTAGAAAAAGAAAAAAATAGCTTTCCTAAAAACACGTAAAAAAGAGAAGAATAGATATCAAATTTATTACATTTATTGCAGGATGAATGAATAATAAAATGTTTAATTTTTAAAATTATTTATAACTAAATAGATGGCGTTAAATACCTGATTGAATTTGTTATTATATTTATTATCAAAACCATTTATTAGTAAAATTTATTATAATATTAACTGTCATATATTATATAACTGTCAAATACGTCTATAAAAGTGGCATTATATCTAATATTTTATAAACAACTGTATATAGTAGATGATTATAAACTATATGTCTACTTACTTTTTATAAAGAAATCTCTTATACTTATTTTGACCTTGAAAATATTTTTATGAATATGTATGAAAATAAAATTTAAAAATAAATATACAGTTGATTAGTCATATTGAACTTGGCTAATTACAATATAAAATTTGTTACTTTTCAAATATTATATGATTATATTTTTTTAATTAGGGTTAAATTCATTCATTACCACGCCAGAAATTGCGCAAGTGCAAATTTTATCACCCACCAGGGGTTATAGCGTGCACCATGTATATTCACTAGTATATAGATCCTATACATGATGTATACCCTTTCTATATAGTGGACGGTACCAATAATTTAAATAATAAAAGTCAATTAAACTTCAACTGTTAAAGCTAAATTAATATTTAGTGAGTTATTGATATTACCTTTTTAATATAGAATTTATTGCAAGCTGACATAGTGAAAATATAATTTTTAAGTATTAATCTAATATAATAATTAAAATAATATTCATTTAATTCAAATTTAAATAGTCTTATTAATTTCTAAATAATAAAATTAAATCTATAAATTACTTATTGGAATTACAAAAGAAATCATCAGTGGAAAATCAAAAAAATTTATTTTCAGTTCAAGTGGATATTAAAGAGTCATTAAAAAAATTTTTTTGCTTCAGGGGGCTATTAAAATTTTTTTGGGAGCTCTAGCCCTTGCACCCCCACCCCTTTAGCGACGCCACTGAGCAATTGAAAAATTAGAGAAAGCAAAAATTAGAACGATAGAGTAAAATATATTAACAGACCATAGGCTATTGATTATGATTTCGAACATTATATGTTTCATCAACTATAACTGATAAGCATTTGTTATAACCTTCTTTTTAATTTTTTTATATCGATATTTTTTTTTGGTTACATGGAGAATATTTATATTATACAGCAATTTATTTTAATATAATTTAGATTATAATCCTTTTTGTTTTTTTTCAATAAAGATAATTTCGAAAAAGGTACCCCAGTTCTTACCCTCGCCATTGTAGGTGTCACGATAACTGATTATAATGAAGTACTGACTGAGAGATGTGCAATAAATAAAATTAATTATTAGAAAACTATATGCATACATTCACTTATATGTTTTAAGAAGCACCAGAATGAGAGGAGGCAATAAAGATCAGTCAAATTCAAGCGACAGGTCATTATCAAATCATACTATATCATCTCCCCAATCTAAGCCTGGAAAGTATTCTGAATAAAATATATCTGTTTTACTTTATTTCATAGCATCCAATCCATAATTTATGGTGCTCAACATCCACCCTTAGCCCATTTATTAAAGTAAGAATACTATATTTTTTCTGACTTCTTAAAATATTTCATACAGCAACCTAGATTCTCAACAACCTCTTAAGCATAAACATGGATCCTTAAAAAATAGTATTATAATTGTATTGTTATGTTATAAAATACAAATTTTTTGATTGATAATTTTTTAAAATATTTCTGCAATCGATAGATTGTTTCCTTTATATTTTTTGGAAAGGTTTATATATTTTTTTAGTAAACTAATTGATAAAGAAAAGAATTGAAAATAGGGTTTTGGTTCATGTATTTGACATGATTCCAAGTGTTTTAGTTCTAGCAAACTGATAAAGTATTGTATAAACATTTTGAACATTTGATATATATAACTTTGTTAGAACTGGTATGGAATATTTTGTTAAACATCATGATTTTTAAAAATGGCTAACCCAATATTTTTGCCAACATTTTATAAGTCTGGAGATTTTGCTCATTAAACAAAATCTTGAGGTCTGCATAATATTTAGAGCTAAGAGAGGGTAGAGTTTCTCAATTTGTCTTGGTTTCTAGGGTTCTTGGTTACTAAAAATTAAAAAAAAATTAAATTATGATGTTGATGATAATTCCTATAATAATATAAAATCTTCAAAATTATTTTAACACCTAAATGGTAAATTTTTGACTATATATACTTACTAAAATTATATCAATTTACCCAGGATTTAATGACTTTCAAAAATCAATTGATGATGCTTGGGATATTGTTGACATAAATGAGTGTTTAGATACTGAAAAATATAATATAAAATCAAACATAAATTATGTGTATGATGATGGCACAAATTTCTTATCACACACCCATATGAATATAAATCATAAAAATAATGATAACACCATATTACTAGGTTGCCATACATTGGGGCAAAAGTTAGATATTGAAACCAAGATTGAAGGGCCAGTTCTATATCCCTCCTTACACAATTTAAGTATTCAGCCTAATAATGATGATAAAAATTATAACAATGACAATTTTATAAAAATAAACAAAGTTGATAAAAGTAAGTTAAATAATCATTTGAATTGTTATGTGTTGAATAACATTTTTTAATCTAAAATTTTATATATCAGCTAGTTAATATAGCCTTGTACCTTTAACCCTTCAATACAGTGAAAAAAATAACAAAAGTGCTCCAGTGGGGTTTATAAATCCCAATTTAAAATATGTATATCTCCATTTCTATTGATTTTTTTGTATAAGATAGAACTAACCTTAATCTATATAAAATATTTATTTATTTGAATTTATTAGGCTGAGAAATGTTGAAAATATTTATAATTTATGTCAAAGTTTTTTAAAAAAGGTAAATCTTAACTAAATATTATGTACAAAAAATGATTGTATATCAAACCAAGACATTTCATAAAATTAATATTTATTCATCAAAATAAAATGAAATTTAAAAAATTTTTTTTTTCTTTATCTTAACTATAGTTGGAAAAAAACTTATGTTAACACTAGTGGGGTTTCATAGACACTGATCAGTCACAAAATGCTTATATCTTAAAAATTACCAAAATAAATAAAATTTGGAATATATATTTAAGGTATATTTAATGAAGTTATACTGAAAATTAATAATTAATCTTTTTTATATAAAACCAATTCTATCATGTCTGATGTGCTATAACCCCCACTGAAATATTGAAGGGTTAAGATAAGTGTTGTTCATAATAGTTTTGTTTACTTTAAATAGCCTCATTAATTTTGGGTTAAAAAATAAACTTAGGAAGGGTAAAGGTTTTAAATAAGGCTTAATAATGGATATGATATTCTTATCACTACTATTAAAAAAAATTGTATTATGTCAAGCTAAATCAAAATTATTATTTTTTGAAAAAAAAAATCAGAGCATTCATCGAATTTGCCAGCTCCTACATCCCATAGACATGCTGGTCCCGGCTTGGGTAAAAGATTGAATGCCGAAAAAAATTATGATTACATTTCTGATTACACAACAAATATCAGTAATTTGAGGATTAGTGAAGACAAAAACCTTTATAGAACCGCTTCACAATTTTTGGCCTCTGAACAAGAATCGATTAAAATGGAGAAATTCTCTAAGCTTATGAGTTCAGAAAACTTGGATATAGGTACATTAACTTTAATAAAAAAACTCCCATACATTTTTAAAAAAAACTTTCTACTCAAAAATAACTTTTTAAGATGAGTTGATAAAATTGAGTTGGTCTGGAATTCATCCAAAATACCGCCCTTTAACCTGGAAGATTTTATCGGTAAATATAGTGAACAATATATTATTAATATTTATAAAATTACTTCGTTTTTATTTACACAGTGGTGCATAATCGCATATTTGATTGTTCTCGTAAATATCATTTTAAGCTAATAAAAATCCCCTCCCTTACACGCCCCCACCCCCCTCTTACCAAAAAATGCATACAATTTATCACAATAGGAAGAATATGAAGGAAAAAAAAATAACGGCTATAATTTTAATTTTTTTAAAAAAAATGAAAACCCAATTATATTTTTATAAAAATCTAATATAGCCAAAAGTCTACAATAAATGGATCTAAAAATCTTCGATAAAATTTATGGGGAAAGAGCCTCCCCTCTAGCAAAATCCTGGGTGCTTGTTTCTATAGTGCTGCGATCTACCTGGCTTGGGTTTGCCAAAAAAAGTATAAATTTTCTAACCCTAATTGGGGTTTTAAAATTTGGTAACCTTGCGGTTTCAGCCCAGGTTTTATATAATTCAACTTTGCAGGTTTATGATATTTAATAATCTAAGACCTGAATTTTGATTTTTTTTATAAACAGCGAAATCAAGGTTTTAGCTAAACAAATATTCCCTAACCCTCTATTTCATTAAATAATGGGTGACCCTTTTTTGGCGAAATCTTGAGATTTAGGTAATATTTGTTTGGCTAAAAATCGAGGTTTTTAACAAAACAGCTCTTTTTAAGATAAAAAGCTTGCTTAAGCAAATTTAATATATTTATGTTGAGAATGAGCAGCCCTCATCCACATGACCACACTAGCGGGTTATCAAATCGAAGCGTCACTTCAAGAATTAATTGATATAATTACGATAGGGAATGTTATTTGAAATTTTATAATACATGTTATTTAGACCCAGGGTCAAAGTTGTCCAAAAATCTTCAGAGAACATAAAGATTTTTGACAAGATCTTTGAAGATAGTAAAATTAGAAGATTTTTTATTTTAAAAAATAATTATCTTATATTAATAAGTTTCGATTTTTACATTGTTCTCTTCTTAATTTGCAAATATTGTATATTTTTTACTTTACTTATCAACTTAAGTCTCGATCGTGAATATATGTTATGAAAGGACTAGAAGTTCAATTCAATATTAACATCGAATTAATTATCTTGTATTAATAAATTAAATATAAAATACTTTATATTATAGGGCAGGGATGTGAACCCTTCGACAAAAAAAAGGGTCCAGGTCCGGGTTCGGGTCCAGTAATAATTTAAAAAGGACCCGGGTCCAGGGTTCGGGTTCAGGGAACATAAAAAGAATGACTCAAAATAAGACTTTTTTTCATTCATTTTTTATTATACTTCAATATATACACATTCATAATTCAAAATGAAATAATTTATATTTTAAATATTTTATTCAATAGCACAATCATGATATCTTCTATTCAGATTTTCACGTAAATTTGACAATATATGTTTCAACGATGAAAATCCACGTTCTACACTTACCCAAAATAGATAGTCATTTTTATAATACATAAATTATTGTACTTGTGTCGCTACACCCATGACGACTAGACAAAGTATATAATTCTGGATATATTGAAGAATTTTCCTCCCAGAATTTTAAAATGTATCTCTATTTATTCTCTTAACTTCTGAGAACTTTTCTAATAAAAATACAATAGTTATTTTTTGCTCCTTTCTATCTGATGATAATTTGATTTTTTGTTATCTATCTAATAGTAAAATTTCCAGATGATCAATATTGTTATCATTATCATTGTTATTGCTACAACCAGTAGATATTGTCGTAGCCTCCAATATATTGTAAATAATAGAGATTTGGGTATACCATAAATCCTCAAGATGGTCTATAGCCCTTTGTTTTTGCTCAATACTTAATAAAACTTGATATCGAGGGTCTAAATATATTGAAGCATATATAACACTATTTTGTAAATATTTTTTCTATCTAATTTTCATATTTTCTAATACTTCATATGAAAAAGAACCTGTAAATCTTTCTAACTCTAATCGACATCTTATCCATATGCCATAAAAATCCGATAAACATAACTGTTCTGCTTGCAATCTTAATGTAGTTATTTTTAAAGGAACCAACAAATAGTAAGGTTTTTTTATTTAATTCCAATCATCTTCCGACAAAATACTTCACATGCTCTTATAATAAAATCATAACAGAAATCTTTCGAACTTATTACTCTAGCATCATACAAATAGAGGACCAACGTGTTGTGCAATCTAATATTGCCATTAGCCTTTTCATAGATTATAATATTCTTACAATTGTGGGAGTTCTTAAATATTTTACAACATCCCTTGCTTTATCAATTATAGTTTTAAAGTGATTATTTTTTATTTAGGGATTCATTAATAGCCAATTGTAACGTATGGGCTGCACATCTGATACAGTATATTTTTGTGGAGAAATCTTTTGTTATTTCCTGTAAATCAATTTCACTTATGTCCTCATAATTATCATCATCATCATCTATATCATCCATTTCTTTTAGTGAACATTCATTTAATAATTTGGTTGATTTTACTAGATTAGCACCATTATCCGTAGTAATTGTATAAACGAGGAATGTGAAATTTATTTAATGTTTCTAATATCATTCTTTTTATATTTTCAGAAGTTGAACTCTCTTTAGTCTCCTTCATAGCTAAATTTCTTAATATTATATTATTTCCTTTTATATACTGTATATTTATTCCTAGAATATTTCTCCCTAATCTTTGGGCGGAATTAATTTTTAATGAAATTAATTTGTTTTTTGTTTCTTTTATTATTTTTGCTTGTAATTTTTCGATTCATTATAAAATATTATTACTTACACTAAATAATTTATGGTATCAATATCAATCTCTAAATAAAATGAAATGAAGTTCAGGAAGAAAAACGAAAGAAAAACGCCAAGATAAAATAAATGATTCCACGAAAAAAATTAATAAAATTATAAAAATTTTATATTATTTTTTACAAATAATATTTTTACATTATTTTTTTAAAAAAATATGTTTATGTTAAAAATTTTTTACCCTGAACCCTTGGACCCTCCACTTTTTAAAAGGGTCCGGGTTCAGCCAAAATACGAGGGTTCAGGGTCCGGGTTCACATCCCTGTTATAGGGTTGAAAAAATAAATTGATAAATCTCTCTTTAATAATTTTTATAAAAAATAAGGAGAAGTAAAGATAAAAAAATATGGCATCCGGATATTATTTTTATTCAACTATTCTGCATTAAAATAATCATACTATTATGAGAAAATTTTAAGAAGTCAAAGTTCATTTAATAATTCATAGGAAAAAATGAAAATTTAAGCAATGTAATTCAATTCTGTTTTAATAGTTATTTTATACCTTTATAAAGTCTTTTTATATTATTATTTTTTCGATGTGTTAAAAACATTTTTTGGGTTTCCATTCTTACAACATACATATTATACAACTTTATTTTGTGCTTCAGTTAATTTTCATTTAAAATTAGTATCCCTTAACCTTGTAACAATTTCATTATTCAAATAAGACAATATATAATATTTACAAATATACAATTAAAAATTTTATATAAATAAAAGTGAAAATCAAAACACAAAATATAACGTTGTTAAACAAATTTTTATTAAGTTTGATTAATAAAATATCGTCTAAAGGAGATTTACTTAATCTAGTTCGTAAGAGTGTTACAATCAATCCTAGCGCACTGAAGGATCTTTCGGTAGAGACTTGCAAGCAAGAAGCAGATAGAACTACTTATGAGAGGGTGTATAATTCGGGATCTTGAAATTTTTAGGATGGCCAATCGTGCAAAAGATTTTGATAGGATGGCAATTTTTGGCTATATATTAAATGATTAATTTTCGTCTTAATATCCATGCTCTCAAATATTTTGGTACATTGGAGCCTTAGCGCATTCTCTCTCCAAATATATATATCCAGCCTCGTTTTACTACAACTGACAGGAATAGCAGGAGAGCCAATCAGAGGTGTGTAATTTGTCACCATGTAGACATCAAATGGTCTTAAAATAAAATGAATTTATTTTATTTAAGTAGAATATTATAAATTTACCCTATCAGCAATTTATCATTTTCGGATGGATAGATTCCATTTTGGTAATTAAATCTAGGATCCATGTAGATCCCACTTCTAAATACATTATTATCAAACAGATATTTCTGCCGTAGAATATTCATTGTTGATTTCTTCTAAATCCAATTTATATAAAAAAATCTATTATGCAAGATTTCTCTTGTAATTTTATAATGCATTGCATATGTATACTGGAGGTAAGCTTGAATTCTATCCCACAGGAGTGAATTAATTAAGGTTTCTGAATATATTTCCCATTTTTATGTAAATATCTTTATTATTTTAATTTTTTAACATTCGATAGGTGCTATTCTCCCTAGTAACCGTGTCCAACACTTGTTTGCAAATTTTCAAAGGAATTAAATTTTTTATATTTTTGTGATTTAAACAATTTAAGAATCGATCTTATTTCATCGAGGTCTTCTTTAGGAATTTTTTTTATAAAATCATTAACCCCTAATTGGATTGTATGGGCACAACAACACACACAAATGAGCCCAAATGATTTTATTAGATCATTTAATAAATTTTCCATATTATCATTTACTGGTTCTTCATCCGTGTTGAAAATTTAAGTTATCATAAACATTATTTGATCATATATAAGGTATACCCCTCAGACGAATCACTATCATGTACGCTGCTATTTTGCTGCGAGATCTATATCATTTAGAATCGTTAATTGTTTGCGAAGACTCTTTATTGGTTGGCGATGACTCATTATCATCCATTTGGGACAAATATTCTAATAAGGCATCTTCAAAAAGATCAATATGAGTAATTAGTCCTCAGCTAACATTTCAACAGTTTTAATCATATTCGCACCATTGCAAAGGTGATACTGTATATTTGGCTCAAACATATTTTATACTTTTTTAATAAATTTTCAATTTCTTCCTTTAAATTGGATGCCGTGTGCGTC